ACTTAGCCTTGGTACCATGCCGGGTGGGCTGTATTTCGGACCATGCCAGTAGCCCATATACCTTCTCTGTGCCGAATGTATATATTCTGCCCAAGTATTATGTCTTCTTTCCTCTTCAGGGAAGTCTCGGAGCCCTACATAATACTCAGACATCTGAGAAAGCATATGGGCTACTGAAATGGCCCGAAGGCCAGCCCACCCGGCGTGGTACCATGGCTAATTCAAAAGTGACCCCTCACCAATACCGGGAGACAAACAACTATCGTATTACATCACAATGTAGTGCATAATATCCAATATTTCACCCCCCCCCTTCTTCCTAATTTGACCTGTGGGGTCAAGGAAAATGAACAGAGAACAATTTTCGTTCAAGTAGTGTGAGGGGCGTTTACAGACAAAAATCTACGGAGGCCCAGATTTCTTTTCCTACTAGGGAATAGGTGACCTCAGCCCGCCCACGAGGCTGTTGTAACCTGACCGCTTGCAGCCTGAGCATATATTTGAAACAAAACAGTAGTATCTCCAACTTTCGCCTCAACTTGTATCAGAAAGCACCAATATAAAAAAGTGCCCGTTTGTGTGTGGCGGAGCCTGATGCTCATGGTTATTGCCCTTATCCTATGGTGGCGAAATGAAAATACAATCTACGCAAAATGAACTCCGTGCAGTTAAGCACACACTCTTACCGATTTGTGAATCTACAAATGCATTCTTTAACAATGAGTAATAAACCATTGCCTCCAGATATCCTCAAAATATTGTTGTTCACAAGAGTAATCAAATGATTTTTACACTACAGAATATACGAGAGATTAACAGTGGGAAGGCAGGAGCAAAGTAGAATCTGAATAATGGTATGGGAATAATTGAGAAGGTGTTACAATTTCCCTATCTTCTTTTGAATCCTTATATCAGCGCTCGCGGTTGCTGGCTTTGTAGCAAATAACATTGAAATGCTTGGAGGTAACAACTGAATGCTTCCTGCTCCCAATTGGAGCAACACAGATTTGATAAAAATTCATTTAGTTCTCCGTTAAGAAAAGAGTGGTGCAAAGCATCACCTAAAAACACCGCCAACCTCTGTGATTATGTATTGCTCCGAGACTTCCTTGAAGACAAAAGAAGGCATAGTACTAGGGCAGAATACGTATTGCCGACGTACAGATAAGATTAAGGCTACTGGCGTGACTCGGGCCTTTGAGTGGCCCGTTACCAAAACCGAGAGTTAAATAAGCAATTAATGCATTGCATTTATATATAAGAATTATTTGTACAAACTAATACGCAAATTGTTTTCGGAACCTTTTTACCTATTTCGCCTTTTAAAGTTTATTACTACTACGTGGCTATTTCTCTGTGTGGTTTTTAGCTTAATCCAGCTTAAGAGCATTCCAGGCATTTGGTTTCAGGGTCAACCCTGCATTGCGTAGACGGTAAACACTAATTTCAGATTAATACTGTCCTCCCGAATATCTCTACCGAAGACAGGAATGTCACATAGGTGTACTATGCAATGCTTCGGGAATAGTCCGATTAGTGCGGTTTGTGTCAGGCGTTAAAGGGTGGTTGTTGCGTTGCAGACTCCAAAAGGCGTTATCCAGATTTCATAAAGACCCTGAGGCAGCATGAAACCTGTCTTCCCTCTGCTTGTCTCTACCACTTCCAATGGATCAGTATCCTGATTTTATGCCTAGTGTGGAGAACCACTTTCACCGGTGTAGGGAGTCTGACGAATGGTTAATATGGGGTAGTGGGAAGGCATCATTCTTCGTTACTCTATTAATCTTCTAGCAAAGTAAATGGCATGCGGCCGGGTAGCTGCCAGATTGGTCTGACTTCACCGATGTCTGTCGTGTGTTCCACTATGTTTGTTCTTCTTGGCCTAACACCTTGACATAAGACTATGTTTCTTATCGATAACATGAGTAAGCTGCGCACGGGGGTCATCTAGGTTGTTCATGGGCGTAGTCACGACCTCGAAAAGGACGTTGCGAATATCATCGATGCCTTTCTTTGGTAGCAAAAGGTCTATCTTGACTTCACTGCCATGGTAAGTGGAGAAGGTGCCTTCCGCAAAATTCAGAACGATTATGGTGTTTAGTAGCAAAACGGCAACAAGAATCACGTACCAAACCAGTTCTAAACGTATCAAAAATTTCACTATTCAGATCTCCTTGCTGTCTACCCTTCCACAGCCACCTCCTTTCCTTCTGCTAAACGTAGTCTACTAGAGGGTGAAACTAATCTTGTGACAAAGATTTACTCTTATCCAGCCGCACCAGAGACAAGGGATAAGTTGCTCGGACTTCCTTCTAGTTCACCTGGGGTTTGCAAGGGTGAGTGAGAGCCATTTAGAAGCAAGCAGGATAAGGAAAAGGAAGGTTCACCTTGTTTTGGGTCATAACTCGGAGGGCCTCCGTAATGAGGATGCTGGATTAGGCCACCTGTAACGGTTTTTGTAGTGCGGGCCTGTAAGCAAGTTCTAAGACTTCTTCCTTGCGAACACAGTGTCTGAACTGGACGGCTATCCATCCTGTGATACCGATTGGATGTAAGCTGCCAAAAACCCGTTCCACCAAAAGCTGGAAAATCTTAGCATATGCCTCATCATCTTCAGCCACTTTTTAGTAGCGGTAGAGGAAATCTATGTCTGATGTCTGTTATCCCTGGTCGATGACGAGTTGGAGTAGAGTAGCGCAGCACTTTGCCAACTCGATGTCTGGTATTATTTTGGCGTCTCCAGTGGCCTAGAAGAGACTCTAGGGAAGGGCATGTAGGCTACGAAGGGTCTCTGACGTTAGGTAGAGAATCAGAGACTAAATTTGACGTTTTCAAGTCACCCTTCAAAATCCATGCTATTCTTGAAAGGAAGAGGATATCCGCCGACGCTACCGCCAGTGTAGTAGATTCGGCTTTCCTCTCTTTCACATCCGTTTTCATTCCCTTGGAACAAATAGACTGATAGCATTATGAACGGGCTACAATGATTAGTTGGGGCCTGTTCCGTGAGGAGATTTGTATCCACTGAAAGCTTTTCACCTAAAAGGTACATTCAAATAAACATACCCTACAAGTTATTAGCGTAGTCTGCATGAGCATGACCCTGTAACATACCAGTATACACCCTGATCGTGTTTGAACTATACTGACGAAATACGAACCACACCCCATTGATCAACTAGTCTTATGGGGGCTTTTAACAATTCTACTTGCAGACTCGAGTTCTCCATTTTCATGCAGTCAGTTAGCGACCAAAATCGTATGAAGGAGTGTGGAGCTGGGCAGCAAACAATTTAAGTAGAAAACTGCATTTGTAGTGTTCTAACAGCTGCAACCGCACCTTCAAGGTTGTCAAAGTGATCATGTTTGGGGATCACTCACTCCACACGATCAGATGTGATGTTCTGCCATCAGTTATGTAAGAAGTGGTATGATGGGGAGGATTTCATTAAAGCCTAGATCTAAACTCCAGTACGGAGATTAAGGCGATTAATGAACATGTTAACGACAACGGGCAACTCCTTGAAAGGAAACATCCACGTAGCCAAGTACACAGTTGAAGTAAATACCATTCCGTTATATTGCTGTTCTTTGGTGCTGAGCGTTCTACTCAGCGCCTTACGTCGATACTCCTTCCCAAAATCACCGGTTGCATTAAAATAAAGGACGACGAAGGAAGGGAGATGATACAGTGATGTGCATTGGGAAGGCTTTCATATCTGTAGACGTACATCTTGTAGTTTTGAAAGATTCATCGGGCATGTCCTCTTTGGGGACCGCACCGCAGGTTGCCATCCGCATTGTACTAGCCAAGAATGAATGAGTCTAGTCGGTGAGCAAATTTTTCACATCAACCACTTCTCGTAGGGACATTGGCCCAAGAGCAAAATCATCTCAACATGCACACACTACAACGCAAATTAGTTCATTTATCCCCTTCACTTTGTTGTCATTCAAGGGCCGCCCGGCAGCCCGTCTGGATTGTTCTAGACATCTTGCCAACCTTGAAGGATCTGAGGGCATCAAATCATCAGACAGCACCCATGTCGAAATACGTTAATGGAATCACTGTAAGCCACTCCTTTTCAAGCTGCACTTGAATGCACTTTTTTTCTCCAATTTTTGTTAATGTATCTCTTTGCACTTTACCTGACCCTGAGTTCACAAACCATGACCCGAGCGTCACCACCATCACCCCAAATACCGAAGCAAAAACCATTCCACCAGCACAAAATCAGGTCGCGATACCAATGGTGTCCGGATGACCACCAGAACGAGCAAATACGCCAATGGTGACACCAGTGCCGACAAGCGCAACACACCCCTCCCCACGGCTAATCGCGAACCCTACATCGATGACAAAAAAGCTCATTTGGTGAAGCATTTATTTCAGAAACTTTGCTCACCGGTGAAAAATACAGAACACTGCGCATACAACACTATACTTAGTTAAAAGAAATTGCTCTATGTATTGAATGCAGAGATCTATTCCAGATACCTACAACTTGAATTCGTCAAAAAAGTCATTGCCTTTGTCGTCAACGACAATGAAGGCTGGGAAGTTTGCAACTTCAACGCGGAAGATTGCTTCCATACCGAGTTCTGGATACTCAAGAGTTTCTACCTTCTTAATGCAATTTTGAGCCAGAATAGCAGCTGGACCACCTATCGAACCAAGGTAGAAACCACCATGTTTCTTGCAAGCGTTGGTCACCTAAAATACCACAACTTATGAGTTACCTTTAAGCTAGAAATGCAATGGTCTGCGCGTATAATGGATAGCAACACAATAACCTTTTCGACAGGGATGCAAGAAAGCTGATCAAGAGGTTCAAACTCACGTCTTTGGAACGATTGCCTTTGGCAAGCATTACCATACTACCCCCGTGGCTTTGGAAGAGATCGACATAGCTGTCCATCCGACCCGCTGTAGTGGGACCAAAGGAGCCGCTGGCAAAACCTTTTGGTGTCTTGGCTGGACCAGCGTAGTAAACTGGGTGATCGCGGAGATAATCGGGCATGGGTTGACCTGCGTCTAGACGCTCCTGCAGATGAACAGATTTCTTTATGATGGCAACAAGCATATCGAAGCAGTAAAAGGAAGTAAAACGAACCTTAATCTTAGCGTGGGCAATATCACGAGCGACAACGAGGGTACCAGTGAGATTGAGACGAGTCTTGACAGGATGCTTTGTGAGAGCAGCGAGGACCTCCGACATCGGTTTGTTCAGATCAATGTTCACGACATCGCTTGACAGTTGGGCAGCGGATGGATCGGGGAGATATTTAGCAGGGTTAGTCTCCAACTGCTCCAAGAAGATGCCCTCTTCTGTTATTTTACCATAACACTAAAAGGGGAATGATGGGGGGGGGAGGTAAGGGGCGTTCCCGTATCGGACACAGATGTGAATTCGCTCAAACAACCTGCCGGTCAGCAGAACAAGAGACACCAATTCCAACGGGACAGGATGCACCATGTCGCGGCAAGCGGATGACTCGAACGTCGTGGCAGAAGTACTTCCCGCCAAATTGAGCTCCAATTCCTAACTTCTGGGAGATTTCGGTAATGCGCCGTTCTGCCTCTAAGTCACGAAATCCTCGGCCATGTTCATTTCCTAGTGTTATTAATCAAAATGAGCTCAAAATTCGCAGGATTCTAAGAAAAACGGTACACTACGCTAACCAGATGTGGGAAGGTGATCAAGATAGCGTGCAGATGCCAGTTTCACCGTTTTCAGATTGAATTCAGCAGATGTGCCCCCAATCACAACAGCCAAGTGGTAAGGTGGACAAGCAGCGGTCCCGAGGGTCTATAATCCACAGTTAGTAAGCAAAGTGTACGCGAACCCTCATTTTTTCTGTAACAAACTCATAAAGGCTCTTTTCGTTCAACACAGCCTTTGTTTGCTGGAATAGGAAGGACTTGTTGGCCGACCCACCACCCTTGGCCATGAATAGGAAGCTGTATTCATTACCCGAGGTGGAATAGATTTCAATTTGAGCAGGCAGATTGGTGGCGGTGTTCTTCTCAGTGAACATGTCCAAGGGAGCAACCTTTAAGGAGAACGAAACTGAGTGCCAAAGCACACTCTAAGTGGGTCAAATTTACATAGAATGTTTGAAAGTAGCCAAAATAAAAAGGATTTTAACGCTCTAAATCAGCCTGAAACATCATTTGGTTTTTCTGCAACGATACAGAGACTATAGGAGTCTTGCTACTATTTATCTACTGGCAGCGAAGGTCCCCATTGTTTACCAGTCGATACCAATGACCGTCAAACGAAGCAATGAAAAGGTGCACATACTTCGCTAGACGCTAACCTGAGAATACCGAAGGTTGCGAAGTGTATAAGTATTGTAAATACCCCTTGACAGCGCGGCACCATCATCTTCATTGGTCCAGACATACTGCCCCTTCTTACCCATGACGATAGCAGTACCAGTGTCCTGACAACTAGGCAAAATCATATTGGACGCAATGTTCGCATTTTTAAGAAGTTCCAATGCAACGAATTTGTCATTATTGGAGGCTTCCGAATCCTTCAATATGTTCGATAAAGATTGCAAGTGCGAAGATCGCAAAAGATGAGCAATGTCGTTCATGGCCTCCTCAGCTAGAAGTGTGAGACCTTTCCCATCAACCTCAAGGACTTTTTTTCCGTTTACTTCAGTGGTCTGCACATAGTCACCTTTTAAAATAAAAGAGCCACAATGACGTCCGATAACAAAATAGAATTAAAGTATAGTAATATATGAGTGACCAATACAAAAAAACTAGAACTAGAAACCCACCTGTTATCTTTTTAAATTGGGTACCAGCATATGGAGGCTTCTCAAATTCAAGCAATTCCTGGTAGTAGAAAGGCTTCGCTTGAGTTGAAAAAGCCTTAGTTGCAACCGAATTGAAAAGAAGACGAGAGAGAGGAGCACTGGAAGGGAGTAAATCAAACTGGAACACCTACCGGAGCATTACGAGTACCGAAACGAATAACGAAGGGCCGAAGCGCCATTGGTAGAGTTAAACAATTGTAGTGGAAGAAACAAACAAAGGAACACAGTAGTCATAAATACAGGAACTAGTAAGTAGTAAGTTGATGCAAAACAACGACTGCAAACATTTTTAAAAGAAAAGTTGATTTTGCCATGACCACAACTCCCAAAAAGTGGAATACTTCAAAGTGTTTACAACCAAAGGTATCATTTCTTTTCGGGCAAAAAATGGCATTATTAAAAACACGTATTAACAAATATAAAGCACTGTATCACGCTCTTGCTATTAGGGAGGTAAAATTCAACAGCTAGAATTCATTTTGATTTGAGAAATGCCCAAGTTTGAGGTGCATTGAGTATATGGGTTCGAATTCATTATTACTACAATTAAAACTGCTTGCAAAATATGCTTGTAAGTATTAAGTAGAGTGCACGAATAGGACAGTAATATGTAGTAAGTGAATTATCTGTTCTACATTCGATTTTGCTACTTAGCCATTTAAGGCCTTCGGCTTTGTACTCCCCCGGTCGCAGCGCCTTCGAGCCATGCCATCAATTCCTGGCCCTTTTGTGTATCGCCAATACATATCCTGCCCAATTCCGTTTTTGGGGAAGTCTCGAGGCGCCACAAATGAGACATTTTGCGTATCAAGTCGAAAGGTCTAACAAACAAACAGAGCTTTACATATGAAAAACTAAAAGCGAATAAATTCACATCGGAGCTCTGTTTATATACCAAGTAAAGCTCTCCACACTCTCAAACCTAAATTGCTCAGCAGCTTTATTCAATTATTTCATGGTTTTCATGTACTTTTGTCACCAGTTTGCAGCGAAATTAAAGAGTTTTTCAGCATTTATAAACTAGCATTAAAATGCAGAAACTTCCAAATCTACGCAGATTCTCTTACGCATTGCTTTGGCAAATACAGCAATGTTTCGAATCAATCGTATAGCCGTAATAAAGCATACTAGAAAATTTTATTAGTTATTAAGAGGACTGCGGGCTTGAGCTAAGGGCCATACTCTCGGGGGGAAAGTTCATCATACTGATCCTGAATAGCCTGCGTGGTTAAACGTGAACCCAAATAAATATCGCTTCACATCATGGTCCTTTTCTTCTTTTTGGGTATCACTACGAGAGGTCCTCACTGTTAGTCCTCTAATTTTGTCACAACGAGTAACTGTCTTAATTAAAAATAACTTGAAGTAGAATCGCTTTTGGAATAATGGAATCCAATTTTATGAAAATGCTATGCTTTGCCCAAAGGCGAACAGTGTTTTAATACTAGGGCAGAGAATGCGTTACTAACATACAAAAGAGCCGAGGAGATACCAGCATGGTCCAAAGGCCATGCCGCCCTGTGCAATCTCAGAACCTTAGGTGCTTTGAGTAACCAAAACCAACAGTTGGACAGAGCATTGCAGTAGTAAATAGTGTCGGGCTGAATTTCTAGGTATCGTTTTTATCAAAGGGCGAGCTGGATCCAGAAAGACATATGTGGGAGATGGAGAGAAAGTTTTGACTTTGTCCTGCATCCTGTATACCCTGCAAGCCAATCACAAATCTTAATATCATTTGACGATTGTAGCCTTGGAAAAGGGCAGGTAATGCTATTAAGCTCTAATAAGAACAACCGCTTTGGTTTTTTCTAGCGTCGTTAAAGGACATACGAAGATGGAAAAGAGGTGGTACTGTAGCGTCCCGGGACTCCCTGAAGACGAAAGAAGACACAATACTCGGGCAGAATATATATTCAGCACGGAGAAGGTGTCTGGGCTATTGGCATGGCCCAAAAGGCCAGCCCACCCAGCGAGGTACAAGGGGGCTAATTCGAAGCACAAAAGTGGCGCCTCACCAGAACCGAGGGATAAACCACTATCGTATTACAGTACATCCAAAATCGTTAGCTTGCAAACGAGAGCGTAGGGGGAATTCGATGCCGAGAAGTAAGTGTAAACTGTCAAGTCGTGTAAATCTAGCGTATTTTTAAACAGATGAATTTTTAGCAGTACAATCATTTCTGGCGTCTTTTGGAGCTTAGGCACGTTAGAGGCAATGGAGCTTTCGTACTGCTGTGCATTTTCTCACCCTTAAGGATGACACGGGAAGCCTAAACTTGAACCCATGGCTTAAGCACACTGACTTAAGCTACCGGTTATGTAAAATTTTAATTGTTTTGGACAATCGAGCAAATGGTAAAATGTGCACTCTTCGAAAATTGCTTGTTGCTTTGATTATCTAAAAGTGAGCGTTAGCGCCATTTTTAGCGAAATTATCTAAAGTTCAACGTTTTTTACACTTTAAAAATTATTGATTTTGCTTGTTTGCTTACTTTATTAACACCTTTCTAGTATCTGCATCTTTTAATCACAACCTTGACGCTCTAAGCCGATTCAAAAACCGCATTATGAAAGGTAAGTAGTATGATGTCGGTAAAAGCAAATATAAGCAATTTTATTAGCCTTATTTTGCATTACAAATGCCAAATTTGAGTGTAGTTATAACAAGAGGTGTATCTACGTAATTAACCTTGTGTTTACACGTAAATCCACAGTATAAACTTATTTGAAACTGATAGAATAAGTGTTTCTAGGCAATAAAATTTAGCGAATTTAATATTTTAATTGGCCTAACACTGTTATACTTGCTTTAGACTGCCCTGTTACAAATGGATTTTTGAAGTCCTTTGTTCAATAAGGGAGCAAAATTGTCCTTGCCAAGAATCAAAGATATACTACAGAAATGTCCAGAAAGCTACGTATTCTTTTTTCTTTTGCTAGTAAGTCGTTTTTAATGTTACAGTTTTAACTTTTTAAATCAAGTTAATGGAAATTGTACCTCAATATTTCTAGATATTTTAGTTCTTTATTTGAAAACCAGGTGAAATAACTTTTCAGATTAGAAACTTACCTTGACTGTACAATAAATCAGTTAGGCCGTGGTCTTTAAAAAGATTGTGTCGATGCATTGACCTACTAATCTGCATGTTTTACCTTTCCCCTGCAATCATTATATTTGGAATTAATGACGTTGCTGTAGTTTATTTGTCATACAAGAAAATTCTTGAGGTACTGTTTGAAGACTCATCACAAATTAAGTAAAGGAATGATAAAGGTAATTAAATAATTTAAGTTACAACAAAGTGACCTGTGTCATCTCCTATAACAGCCCTTTAGGTGTTAACGAGAATCCATAAATTTATGCGAATTAAGGAATGTCAAAATGTTTGTATTCTGATTCACGTTTGAGCTAAAAGCTATTTTTTAGTTATTAAAATACTAAAAACTTTTTTGAAAAGCACGTGATGATCCCGTTTGCTTTGAAAGCGCGTGGATTTATCTTTCTACATTGGAGTTTTCATAACTTCAAAGCAAAACCAGGGTCGCACTTGATCTAACTAATCCAATAACGACAGAATTTATAAAGGCATCTTACTTCAAAAAGCGTACTGCTGCAAAAATACTACACAACTGAAGATTTTATTAAGTACAAGCAAAGTGCTTCAAAAATTTGCGATGACACATTGAAAGACGGCTAAATTACAAAGTTTTGAGGAAAGGCTGCATTAAAGCAGGGGAAAAATTATAGTTTGACAGTATAAAACGATGATTGTGGGACGTTATAATCAAATTTACTAGTTTAGACAAAATTAAGGCATTTTTTTCTAAAAACTGGTAAATTTTTCTCAAGTAAAGTGTACAATTTATAAATCCATGTCTAATTTGGTAAAAACCTACTCACAAAAAGCGTTTTTAATAGCATAGTACTTACAGAAACAAAAAACAAAATACCTTGTGCTTACGTCATATCAAAAGCCATTTTCAGTATTACCTCTAAGGCTACTACGGTAGGCAAAATTCAAGTAATTCTAATAAATGACTTGTTTAGCATTAACGGTTCTATGTGTATTTATATATTTGCTCGTCTGTAAACCGCAACACATGATCTTTTATAAAATAGTTCCAAATTTAAGTCATGGGTGTTAAAACCACGTTACTGGAAGCAAGTTAGTTAATAAAATTACTTTAAGTACAGTAAACTACGGACTTAACTTTCCTTAAATATTTCAAATAATTCTGAAGTGATGAAACAACCCCAAATCATTTCCTGACAAACCAACTCCAGCTTAAATCCACAGCATTTTGATATAGTGTGCTGCAAAAAACAAGATGTGCACACAATCTGGTCAATGTGTTCAGGTCGAGGTGATACTTTTCCTCATTTTGCATGGTTTTTATTTGAAGAGATGTCAATACTTTAGAATGGAAGAAGTACGAGTGTGCCATGAAAATAAAAACCTACCCAATAAATTTAGCATTTATAATGAGTCAAAGGGCAAAATTGAATAAAATGCTCCTAAAAATATGGCAAATTAGCACTTTTTAATAACAAAAACAGGATAGAAACCATTTTATCAAAGTTAGGCGTAAGTAGGATGCCTGCTGGTAGCTTTTTGTTAGTGGAAATGAGTCCGTAAATGATGTGGCAGCCTTAGGTTGAAAGAATCACGAAGGTTATGAATGACCAAAGCCTGAATACCATGAGTACCGGGTGAATGACAGGATTTCATCCGATCCCCTAGAAGGTACTAAATAACCAACCACTAAATAATGTGAAATATCTTGCAGCGACTCTTCTAAGGTCTGTTTTCTATTTAAATATTTCATTTTCTTATTTAGATTTTACGCTGAAGGTTCATAAAACCTCTGTTTTAATATTAGCTATGAGGACTTTAGTTAAATTTTCGAGATTTATTTTAGATTTATCTTGTCGGATGACTATCTACATTATTTTTAACTAAATTTCTTACGGATAGTAAGACTCATGCGCAATGTTGCCTAATACGAGTCCAATTCTGCATATACAACCACTTTATTCCATAGAATAAGTTATAAGGGATCTGGAACCTAATGAATAAAACACAACATTTCTCGACAAATGTAATGTTGATGTTGGCTAGATTATATTTACATTTAATTTTAACCCCGATTGCGCTGCATTAAAAGGTGCCAAATAACTCAAGCTGTGACCACTTTTAGAATTGGTTGTTACAAAGCATGCGCTACGAAGGAATTTCTACCGATCATTCTTCATACAAGTGCGAACACTTACAGAAAGGGCGCGCACCCACACACAGGAACCCACTTCTGCGTACTTTCTTCCCATGCTTATTTGGTGCTTTCACTTAGGTTCTTGTCAGAAAAAGAGTACTGAGAACACTTTTTAGTCGAAGTCATCTTATCATCATGAATTCCATCCTTGGCCGGCAAAGAGATTTAATGGACCATGGGAGGTAAACGCATCTAGACTAACAGATTATACAACGGGACGTCAAGAGAGATTAATTGAAGGTTCTCAATTAGCTACTTGGGACTATCTTCCTTGGTAATGCTTTTATGAGTTGTCAATTTCAGCTACTCTTCCTCTACTCATACTCCGAGTTGTGTAATTCATTGTAAATCGGGTTTTGATAATAAATGGCCGTTTTTTGACCTGTGCACAGGTTAATCATGCGACTGAACAGAAGGCAGTAAACCCCCATCAGCTTATGCATCTGACCGAGGAGGAAACGTACTGCTTAGAAATGGTTTTCTACAAGCACGAGATCATTACAGAAATATAAATTCGGAAGGGGTGAACTTCTTAAAGATTTTCTGACTTAACACATGATAACTCCCAAATGCACGATTTCATGCCACGAATTCCATTTTATTCTAATGCAGCTTAGTAAAATTTAGCTAATACATAGAATGGCACTAAGAAGTGGAACATACGAGCCCAAAATCGTCACAATATATCTCTGTGAGCGTTTTATGTGGGAATGATAACTATTTACAGGACCACTCTCGTCTTTGTCTTCGAAAAATTACTTCGACGGTAATTACACTGCAAGAAATATGTTAAAATAGTGATTTGTAGAATAATTTTTTGGCTCGTTGATTGATACAGCTGGAAGGCATGTTTGAATGCGCAGTTGTACTGCATAATACATGCTGATACAAAGTCATCGAAAGATACTACTCGAATGCAAATGGAGGAAATAATTTCCTCAACAGGAAGATAAACGGGGATGCCTAACTGACCCTTGTCTGTATGTGCGTGTGTAATGGGTGCGCAGAAAGGGAGGTGGCTTGTAAGGCGGGAGTGGAGTTCAGAGGTCCTAGTCACAAATAAGTACTTCCATGTTTATACTAACAATGCTGTGTCTGTAGCGGCCAAAATTCACATGAAAGGTCTGCAGTCTACAGCAGCTGGGAGTGCCAAAAACCGTCAAAATTGCTCCTACTGAAGTTTTAGGAATTGCTCCAGAATCAATTTCCAGTGTTTCCATCAACAGACAAAAATCTGTCCAGCGCCCACAACAGCCCAGCCTTGCGTTGACAAAACCCCCTTTAATAGATACTTTGTCCATCCCTTCTCGCCTACAAAAATGTTCTTGTTGTCACCGACTTCACCTACGAATCATTCGCACCCACAGCATAATTAAAAGCCAGTACCTGCTTCAGTAGTAGAAAGCCTGCGTGAAAAAAGTGATGCGTCTTTTCTATTTCCAAAGCAATGCAATTTTACAGTTACCTCAGGTCTTTCACTGTAGAATGTCATTAAAAATTGAGTTGCACAAAATACTGTAAAAACTTTCTCTGCCTCTCTGCTAGCGGTAAGAGCTAGATTTGACTGCAAACATGAGATTTTGTCTGGTTAAGGGACTGAAAACGCCTGCTCGTGCAAAATTTACGCTGAGTTTATAAACAAATTACTGGGTTGTCATTCCCTGCGTATGAAGTGGCAAAGAGCTTCAATATTTAATGCACCCAATGCCGTATTTTGGATTGGTGGCGAAAATTAAGGACTGTCTTAGTTGAAACATTTTTCCAGGTTAGAATCCTAAATCACGCAATTTACCGATAATGGGACAAAATAATATAGATAGACCTATTCGAATGGATAATGACACGAAATTATCATACAGCCTATAGGGATTTTAATCAACTGGAAACACGATGAGCGTGCTTGCAATGGCCTTACTTCGACGTTACCAATGCTTCATGAAACACATCACGGAAAACCTTGCTGACAACACCTTATAAGCCTCTTTTCATTAATCCGCAGTAGGGCTTTTCATGGATGGTGCTCCGGTTTAACACAGCTTTGCAACAAATGCTAAGGCTAAGGACAGTAGTGATTAGAAGCAGATTGAGATTTCTTTCAGGTTTGACCACTTCTGGTCTCCAATGTCATACAATTGTGTATATAATGCCAGACTGTCTGTCTTCTGGATTAACAGGTAGGAGTTGCAAGGTATTGTAATATTGTTAAGGGAAAAATGCTTTACAAGTTTTGCAATCTAATCTAAACTGAAACACTCATTTCATGGGGTAATGAATAGGTTACAAGCCCAGTAAACACATCCCATTACCTACTGAAGCAACCAGTATGAGCAAAAAATGAAACAAGATGACTGGAAAAAAATCGCCTAAAAAACACTTCGTTGTCTACTGCATCACAACAAACTTCACATAAACACTACGATTTTCCATATTTAATTGCTCACAGTGTCAAACAATCATGTAAATCTAGACCACAAATGGTCCCCAAGTTTCTACTAGAACGACCGCAAACTCGCGGATTTGTGGGATGCATTTTTGTAAGAAGTAACAACACAGGAGGGTTACCATCTACAGGTTAATTTTACGGTTGAGAGAGTCTACTCACAACTTTAGGGACACCAAATACTTCAGTAAATTTTAACAAGCATTTAAAATGTTTTGGCTGACATTTGTTTCAGTAGTTAACACAATTAACTATGAATACTTGTAGAATAGAGAACGTTTGAATAATGCGAGATATAGCGAAAAAGGAGGAACAAAGTGTCTGAATCCTGGCGCAAGCAAAAGGATGAGATGTTCATAACAAACTATTAAAGTTATTGAAGGTTCTGTGGGTGATCGCCTCAAAGAGTTCTAACTTGTGCCTACTTTGGCAGTAAATTTAGGGATAGATGCAAGTGAACAGGAGGTATGTGCTATAATTAAAGAGCGGTAAGCAAAATGCACGATTTCTTTGACTAACGGTGCAGCACTTTTCAACACGGAGATGAAGCAAACTTGAATTTTACTTTGATGCCTTTGAACCCTAAAA